AGAGACAGAGAGACAGAGAGAGAGAGAATCTTAAGAATCCATGCTGAGCATGAAGCCTGGAGCCGGGCTAGATCCCACACCCTGGGATCACGACCTGCCCCAAAATCAAGACTCAGATGCTCAACGGACTGAGCCCCCAGGCGTCCTCAGTAATGTATTTTTATTATTTTATTTTTAAAAGTTTTAAAAATGTTTTTTAATTTATTTTTGACAGAGAGAGAGGGACAGAGACAGAGACAGAGACAGAGCATGAGCAGGGGAGGGGCAGATAGAGACGGAAACACAGAAGCCGAAGCAGGCTCCAGGCTCTGGACAGTCAGCACAGAGCCCCACGGGGCGGGGCTCGAACTCAGAACCGGGAGATCATGACCTGAGCCGAAGTCGGCCGCTTAACTGACTGAGCCATCCAGGCGTCCCTGTTTTTATTTTTAAAGTTTATTTTGAGAGAGAGAGAAAAAGAGAGAAAAAAGTGCAGGAGGGGCAAGGGGAGAGATAATCACAAGCAGGCTCTGCACTGTCAGTACGGAGCCTGAGGCGGGGCTCGAACCCACGCACCACGAGAGCATGACCTGAGCCACCCAGGCGTTCCCCCCATAACGTATTTTTAAAGAGGTCTCTGCTTCCAAAGCTGCTGGACCCGAGGTGAGTGAGCTCATCTCCCTCCCACCGCTCGCTCCCAGGGCTGAGAAGCCAAGACGATCTCAGCCTTCGAGAGTCTCAGCCCCTGGCGTGCCGGATGTGGGGACCAACGTCCAGTAGGTGGAGCTCTCGAGCTGGCGATGGCGGGCTGAGGACCCGGGAGAGCCCGGGAAGGGGGAGGTGGCCAGGGTGGGGCCGGCGCCCTCCCGTCCCTCTGTCCTGACTCTGAGCCCCCAACTGTCCCTGCGCGGCTCCGGGACCCGCCAAGGCCTTCCATTGCTCGGGAACTTAGAATTCCCCCCTGCACTCCACCCCTCTACTTTCCGGGGAGAATTTAGCGGTGGCCTGAATGCCCTCTCCCCATTGGCCTGTCGCGCCCTGGCCCCGCCCCCCTCGGCCTCCCTCACCCAGCCTCCCGGACCAGCAGGTGAGCATGCGGCGGACCCGGCCCGGCGCGCGGGCCGCCGCTCTTCCCCGGCTTAGGGAGGGAGCCTCCGCCTCCGCTCTTCGCCGCGGGGGCGTCCGGCCTGGCCCGCCTCCCCACCGCGGCCTGCCTATAGCTGCACGTCCACGAGGCGCCGCTTTCCACCTTGAAATGGGAGAGCGATCGAGGCGCCCGCGGCATCCGTTTGCCTGCGGAGGGCCCCGGACAGCCCGCTGTGGTGTGAGCCTGGGCTCCCTCAGGCCGGTGCCGGGCCGGGGAGGCGTCCGCATCTAGCTGCCCGACGCTGCGGTGCGCTCGCTCCCCTCGCGGTGTAAACCCGGAGTCTAGGGGAACACGTGGAGTCCTGGGCTGCCCATTGCGGGGTCCAGGAGGCCTGAGCTCGGCACCTCCCCATGGCAGCTAAGCAGGCTGCCCTTGGGGGCAGACCCCATTCTCCCTAAAACACACACACACACACACACACACACACACACGTCTTGGCAGGCTGGACACAATAAAACACTCAACAAGCTTCCCTGTTAAAGATTAGAATGTGGAAGGGGCAGTTTACTGCCCAAGTGGCCCCCCTCTGACCCAAATAGGGATGCGCGGATAGCGGATGGCCCTTTCTCCGGAAATACGGAGACTTGAACAGGGCCTCCCTTTAACCCTGCACCCCAAAGAGGAACATTCTGGTAAAACCATCATTAACTGTTGGCCCACGACACATAGGAGGAACTAACTTCAGCTAAACAGCCGTGTTTACTCAATATGATTCTCTTCCTTCGTGGGTAAATTGAGCCCTATTTGGCAGACGGAGCAATGAAGAGTCAGAAAGATTAGGTTCTCACCCAAGGTCAGCCTAGGTGGCAAGTGGTGGAGCTGGCTCCTTCCCCTAGGCCGCACTGGAAGGATTAGATCACCCCAATCTGGAGCAGGGATGCAGGCTTCATATCACAACCCATACCTCCTGCCTTGGTCTTCCCACTCTGGCTGAAGGGCAGTGAGCCCTATCTGGGAAAGGTGTGCGGAAAGGAGCCCAAAGGCAAGAGAACAAGGAACTTTTTGGTTTTGCTTTTAACTTGCCTCCTTTCTGCAGGGAAATAAAGGGGTGTGTGCACCCACACACCCAAACCCAGAAGCGCAGGGATGTCCATGGCTCCCCAAAGGACCCTCACCTATTTATTTGGGGTCATTCTTTTTTTTTTTTTTTAATAAAGTTACTTATTTATTTTGAGAGAGAGAGTGTGTGGCAGGGACAGAGAAAGAGGGAGAGAGACAGAATCCCAAGCAGGTTCTGCACTGTGAGTGCAGAGCCCCCATGTGAGGCTCCAACTCACCAACCATGAGATCATGACCTGAGCTGAAGTCAGACGCCATCAGAGCCACCCAGGCACCCTCTCTTTGGAGTCATTCTGACTCTACCCATGGCATCTCCCTCCTGCCTTCAATAGAAATTCTTATAGTACCCTCACCACTCTCCCTTCCTGCTTTCACCTGAATCTCAAGCGATTACCTTTCTTTCTCTGTGGCCCACCTCCAACACATTTTTACCATTAATACGAAAAAAAAAAAAAACCCTCTATCACTACCCAGTTTAAAGTTTTCCCGTGATTCCCATCATCTAGGGCGAAAGTCCAAGCCGTGCCCGTTGGCATGCCTGGCAGGGCTCCTGCCCCCTCCTTCCCCATCTGTCCCTTCCAGCTGCAGTGACACTGAAGTGGCTTATAGTTTCCTGCACATACTACTCTCATTTGTCTCCAAGCCTTTGCTCGGATTGTCCCCTCAGTTCAGAGATGCTTCCCTGACACCCCTAACTCCTATTTTTCTACTTAAGTGTCAATTGGGCACCCTCTCTCCCAGTAAGTCCTTCCAACCACCCCAGTGCCCTTGCCCTTTGAGCTGAATCCTTGCACTCACCACATAGCTTTTGTGACCTATTGACTGGTCTGATTTCTTCACTCCAACTTCCAAACAGAGGATTGACCTAAATTCAGTACTGCTATGGGGTTGTTTAGGAACCTGAGAAAGCAAGTAGTCTACAGGCCTCGAGATCAGAAAGTGGGTAAGCAAAGGCCAATGAGGAAGATTAATGCTGTGGCTCCAAGGGATGGATGTTCCTCCACCTGGGCAGAAAGACCCGAGTTGAAGCACGCTCCTGGGGCTGGAGCAAAGAGCAGCTCATAGTTCGCTCCTGGGGGTGGCTAGACTCCAGTTGGCCAGATCCACAGATACCCTCACTTGTACACTGACAGGGTTCTCCAGAGACTTACACAGGGAGACCTCCCAGGCCTGTCAAACATCCACTTCCCCTCAAACAGTAACAGGTACGTTCTGAAGCCAGCAGGCAAAAGGAACTAGGAGCTTCTACCACTGTTTTTCAGAAGTGGGAAGAAAAGGTGTAAAATACAGGACGGGCATCTTGCCTCCATAGTAGCTGGGTCTTAGGAAACCGGAAGTGTGGACTGCCTGCACCATGTGGGCGGCCCAGGGGTGGGAGGCCAGGGGCACAACAGTGAGGGCAGTGATAAGACTGTGCAGTCAGATGTGGATGTGGGTGGCCCAGGGCAAGAGAGCCAGTAGGCAGGTGATTTCCTTGAGCCGCCTAAGAGAGGGCTCTCCTTCCAGCTCTGCTACTCCTATAGCAAACAAGGTGCACGCACACGCGCGTGCCCACACCCACACCCACACCCACCTAAACTGATGCAGATATTCCATTCTCCCCACAGCTCCTGCAGCCCAGGATGTGCCCCTGCCTTGCCTTTTCTTTCCAGATCTTGCCCCAGTGACCCAAATGTTCTCTAGCCCCTCCACCTTGTCCTCACTTGTACCCAAACTGCAAGGCAGGATCAGGGGTTTCCCATTGACTTCATCAGGACACCCATCTGCTTTAACCACAGAAAAACCAATATGGGGAGAAGAGTAAAGACAGGAGACAGAAGCCCTGACGCAGGTTTTCAGTATGCAAGTGTTTTTGACTCCACAGCCAGTTGCTTAAAATGAAACATAAAGGGCAGCCAGAATACACACCCAAATGCAAAAAGGTAAAGGCAAACATAAAATAAACCACACAATACCATGAACCCCCACAAAACCAAAAAATTAAAACCCCAAACCCCTCAACTTTATATATATATATATATATATATATATATATATATATATTTTTTTTTTTTTAAAGGGAGAACAACTGTTCAAAACCAACTGGGCAGTATGGTGGGGGTGGGGAGCAGTCCTACAGAAGGGGGCCTTGAACTTCCCCCTGGGAACAAAGAACAAACACAATACAAAGAAAATAACCACCAATCTCCCACATGGGTCAGGAGTCTCCAGAGAACAGATTGTCCCATCCTCAAACTGGCTTTTTTTTTTTTTTTTTTGCCGTTTTTTTTTTGTTTTTTTTTTTTTTCCATTTTCTTCTTTTGTTGTTGTTGTTTTAGCACCTGTACAATAAAACTGTACCATCTCCAATCAGCTGGCCATAGCCAGGCCCTCCTGCCTTTAGATGGTACATACTCTCTACAAGGATTGTTTGGAAAAAATAGCAATTGGTAGAAAAATAAGAACAAGAGTAGGAAAGACAATGCCACAGAGGGGGGAAGGGACAGGGAAACAGCCCAAGCTCCTCCCCTCTCTCCCTCTCTCTCCTTCAACAAACCCAGTGCTGGAGGCCAGGAGGGAGGCCTGGCAGGGG